AGTAAGTTTCCGCAGGATGTTATTGCGTGCAGTTACTTTGTGCTTGGTGTTCAAGCAGTGTTTCCTATATGCTAGTGTTCTGTCTAAGGTGATACCAAGATATTTAGGATGGAAACCATGTTCAAGCTCTTGACCTTCCCAGGTGACTTTCAATTTCCTGTTGGCTTCACAGTTGCGTAGGTGGAAAGCACACACTTGTGTCTTGGCAGATTTAGGCTTTAGGTCAGGGTTTCTCAACCTTCCTAATGCCGTGATCCCTTAATAGAGTTTCTCATGTTGTGGTGACCCAAACCATAACATTATATATGTTGCTACTATATAACTGTAATTTTGCTACTGCTATGAATCGTAATGTAAATATCTGATATGCAGGATGTATTTTCAAATCCCAAATACCTGATATGCTGAAATCTGAATACTGGTGGGATGGGGGTGATTGATTTTGTCATTTGGGAATGTTGGAGTTGCTGGGATTTATAGTTCACCTAAAATCAAAGAGCCTTCTGAACTCCACCAATGATGGGATTGAATCAAACTTGGCACACAGAATTCCCATGACCAAGAGAAAATACTGGGAGGGTCTGGTGGACACTGACCTTGAGTTTTTGGAGTTGTAGTTCACCTACACCCAGAGAACACAGTGAACTCAAACAATGGTGGATCTGGATCAAACTTGGCACAAATACTCAATATGCCCAAATGTGAACACTGGTGGAGTTTGGGGAAAACAGACCTTGACATTTGGGAGTTGTAGTTGTTGGGATTTATAGTTCACCCACAATGAAATAGCATTCTGAGCCCCACCAATGATAGAATTGGACCAAACTTCCCACACAGAACCCCCATGACCAACAGAAAATACTATGTTTTCTGATGGTCTTTGGTGACCCCTCTGACACCCCCTCATGACCCCCACAGGGGTCCCGACCCCCAGGCTGAGAAACAGTGCTTTAGGTGGTTATCTTTGCAGTAGCTGGAGAGATATTTCAAGGCATTAGTAAGTTGGATTCCAACTGTTTCAAAGTCTTTTGCTTGTGTTGTTAGGTCAAGGTCATTAGCATATATAAAGCTCTTTGTGAGTGGTGGTTGTGGCTGATCGTTAGTAAAGATATTAAACAAGGTTGGTGCAAGAACGCTGCCTTGGGGCAAACCATTATTTTGCCCCCTCCATCTACTTTTCCTGCCTTGAAACTCCACATAGAAGCTATGGTTTTCTAGGAGAGTGTGGATAGTTTTTGTAAAATCATAGTCTCGGGTAATACGGTAGACTTTCTGCAGCATTTTCCTATGTTGCACCATGTCATAGGCTGCTGACACCTGGAGGGCTGAAGTTTGCCCATGCCTGGTGTACATTGTCCCATAGACTTGGTTTCAATGAAGGGTTCTCCTCCAAGTTTCAGTCTCGAGTGCCTCTTTTAAGACCTAGAACTCCCTTGATATCTATATCTTGGTCCCTTGAAGTGTTCCACTTATATTGACAATAGGTAGAAGTGATGACCTTCACGTACTTGCATAACATTTTCCATATCACATCTGAAGGGTATCTGAGGCAGCTGTTTTGGAGTTGGAGTCTTTGCAGCTAGGTTTTGAGGCTTGATTTCACATTAAGGGCTCTTCTGTTAATCTCCGATTTCTGAAGAAGTTTACTTTTTCCCTCCTTTTGGTCAAATAGCTCTTTCTCTCTCCATGTCATATGTCCATCCCTCAAGTACGCACACATATCCTGACGCAACCCCACAGACGTAATGTTTAGCCTTAGGCTTCTGCTGATTCAGGGCGTTTACCTCCTGTTAAAACATTCCCCCAGGCAAATTTGTCCTACGTAAAGCATATATCATGGCAAACAGCATCACATACCCCAAGTATTATGAAGTGCAAATAATATATTCTAGAGTGTTATATTTGATACATTGTTTATCTTATGTGCTGGCTTAGTTTATGTAATAAGGAGCCCCCGGTGGCGCAATGGGTTAAACCCTTGTGCCGGCAGGACTGCTGACTGATAGGTTAGCAGTTTGAATTCGGGGACAGTGAGTTGAGCTCCCTCTGTCAGCTCTAGCTCCCCATGTGGGGACATGAGAGAAGTATCCCACAAGGATGGTACAACATCAAACATCCAGGCGTCCCTGGGCAATGTCCCTGCAGACGGCCAATTCTCTCACACCAGAAGTGATTTGCAGTTTCTCAAGTCGCTCCTGACAATAAAAATGCTAAAAATAAAGAACAAAAATTTTGAAATGCAACACATGCTTAATAATGTGCAAGGATAGCAACTTCTTTGGCCAACAGCTTAGCCCATGAAGCTTAGTGTGTGACTTTAAGTAAGTTTTGCATGCCTTCTATCTTAATCTAACCTATCTCACAGGGTTGTTCTGGAGTGGAGACAGCTATATTCTTCAACTCCTTCAACTCCTTCGGTGGATAGGTGAGATATAAACAAAATAAATAATAAAATAGTGAAAATGTTGGGGTCTCCATTTTCAACAGGCATGTAGCCGGGGGGGGGGCGCTCGGGGGGCTTCAGCCCCCCCCCCCCCAAATTCTCATGGTGGTTCGCGAAAAGGCCTTACTGGTGCATTATTTAAACTGTTATGTTTATTCATATCATGATCTGATCACCATACTCAATATATCCCATATGCATGGGGGTATTGGGGTAACGATACAAAAGGTTTGCTAGGCTAGCCCCTCTTTCACTCAGACTCAGCCCCCCCCCCGAAACTCAGCCCCCCCGAACCCCCCCTGAAAAAAATTCAGCCCCCCCCCCCGAAACGAAATCCTGGCTACGGGCCTGATTTTCAATATCTATTATTTCTAATTGACAGATTACATTTACAGTGAGTTGCATGTGATTATGGGAAAAGGAAGGTATTAAGAGTGGAGCAAAAAGGAAATGAATTATAAGAGCTGTTGACTAAACTTAATTGGATCTGTCTGCTCCTTGTAATCAATGAGGCTTCAGTCAATCACAACTCACTTTTCACATTGAGTGCAAATAACCCTCAGACCAATGGATCCAACTCATAGATGGCAGATTCCAAATTCATAGAAATGCACACATATTGCAGGTTTCACAGCAAATTCTGGGTGCATCTACATCAGTGGTTCCCAACCTTTTTTTTTTTTTTGACCAGGGACTACCTTGACCAGGGACCACTCTTCAACATTAATACCAAAAGGGCTACGAATCAGTTTTTGGTCAACTTTAGATTTGGTTTGGTTATTTGGAGTTCTGATTGAAAAAAATGCATTGGAAAGACTACATCAGCTCTAGTTTCTGATGCAGAACATATACCATCCAGTAGTCACCATCTGCTTACCTACAGAAAACCATATTTAAGGCTTGGTAGAGGTGACTGGACTGACCTTGAAGGAGCTGAGGGTGGTGACAGCCGACAGGGAGCTCTGGCGTGGGCTGGTCCATGAGGTCACGAAGAGTCGGAGACGACTGAACGAATGAACAACAACAAACTATAAGAGGATTTCACGAGACCAGTCGCTCTTGTTGCAACAGTGTAGTAACTGTGAGGCTGTGGACCATATTTTAGTTCCTGCGGACCACCAGTGATCCATGGACACCAGGTTGGGAACCACTGATCTACAGTGTAGAATTCATGCAGTTTGAGACTTCTTTAACCACAATGGTTCTATGCTATGGAAAGTATTGTTTATCTTTTTAACAACACAAGGAAACATGAACCCAGGCATGTAGCCGGGGGGGGGGGCTTGAGGGACTTCACTCCCCCCTCTCTCTATATCTATGGCTGGATGGCTCTTTGTCAGGAAAGCTTTGATTACTTTTTCTTGATCACCATACTCAATATATCCCATATGCATGGGGGTATTGGGGTAATGATACAAAAGGTTTGCTAGGTAGACCCTCTTTCACTCAGACTCAGCCCTCCCAAATCTCCCCCCACCCCTACCCCCCCCCAAAAAAAATGAAATCCTGGCTATGGGCCTGGTCAGACCTCACAACCTCTGAGGATGCTTGCCATAGATGCAAGTGAAACGTCAAGAGAGAATGCTTCTAGAACATGGGCACGTAGCCGGAAAAACCTACAACAACACAAAGTTACACTGACAAAGAGTGCTGGTGCTTCACTAAACTACAAATGTCTGGATTCTGTGGCATTTAGCCTTGGTGGTCAAATTGGTGTCAAACTGCATTAATTCTACAGTGTAGATTCACCTCAAGTCACCTGAAATGTGCAACCTAAGGTTCTTCTTGTGTGCACACATGGATTCCTCAAATAGCTTTGAAATGTATTGCTAGGAATTGGAAAAAAAGCCTGTGGCTCTATGGATTTGACTTCTCCATGGACTCTAGGTCTACTCGGCTGAGCTTCTGCAGAAGATGCCTTTTTCATCTCAAGGTAACCAAATCAGAGGTGTGCAGATAGAAGGTTTTAGCAATCCAACCAGTGGCAGATCAGCAATTATGAGCCTTCCAGCTGTTTTTAAACAATATTGCAGTTGCAATGGAGAAAGTTGGGGAGAGGGTTTTCAGTGGAAGGATGCAGAAGCAGGTCTACTTCTGGGACCCCTTTCCATCAGCCCCACTGGGGTTAGAACGTACCCAAGCGACCCCAAAACGAAGTTACCTCCTATCCCGAGCCGGACTTGTGAAGAAGGCTCTGATGAAGAAAGGGGTGCCATGTCCAGAGAGGGAAGGGGGACAACGGGGGAGGGCAAAAGGGTTTCCCAGGGAGGATATTCGGGTCTTTTTGAGGAGTGGGAAGCGGATGGAGAAAGAGATGAGGACGTTGAGGAGTTCCTTCCATCTTGCCCCTATCAGAAGCTCACCAAGACCCGAGAGAAAGAGGGGAGAGGGGCTCCGAAGTCCCCGAGAGTGGAGGAAAAGGAGACCCGGTGTTTGTGTGTGTATCTCTATATGTGTGAATGTACTTGCGGAGGGAGGAGAGAGCAGGATTGCGTCCAAGCCGTTCGGCGTCTCTGCTGGCAAGGAACCCCCGCTTCTCCCCTCCTGCTCGGGGGGTGAGGGGGGGGGGAGAGAGGGAGAGGGAGAGCGAGAGACCGACCTCCGGCGTGTTGGCGATGCCTCTCCTCCGGGCAAGGAAAGCAGCCTGAGCCCCGGGGGAGGAAGAGAGAGAGACACACACACAGAGAGAGAAAGACAGACAAGAGTGAGAGAGAGAGACCTCCTGCCTTGCCTTGCCTTGCCTTGCCTTGCTTTGCTCTGCCCCCCATCTCCTCCCACCCTCCCGGTGACTTCTCTCGCCTCCCACGGCCGCCCCTTTTGCGCCTTTTCTCTCCCCCCTCCAAAAAAAAAAAAATCTTGGCCGGGGATGCGTCTGTTCCCATCTGGCTCGAACTTCTCCCAGGAGCGGCGGGGTAAGTCGAGAGAGGGGCTGGGGATCGGGTTGGCTTGCTTGCTTGCTCGTTTTGGGGGTGGGCACAGAAACTGGACCCAGTTAAGGATGGAAGGGGGTGGGATAGGAGAGCCAAGGGGGCTAAGGAAAGGGAGCGAAGACCAGAGTCCAGGGGAAACTTCACCTGTAGGGGAAAGAAAAAGGAAGAGAAGTTGGGCAGCTTCCTATTGGGAAGGAGCACTGGGACCGTCGAGTCCCCCAAGCATCACTTGGCTACTTGGAAGGGAGGAGAGGAGGACCTCTGAGCATGTCTAGAGTGCGTCCCTTGCCCTCTCTCTCWCACACACACACATTACAATTTGCTTTCGACTATGTCGGGTTTTCTTTGGTGCCCATCCACACAGCCCTATATCCCAGAAGATCAAGACAGAAAATCACACTGTCTGTGGCTCCTTCCACACAGCTGAATAAAATCCCACACTATCTGCTTTGAACTGAAATATATGGAAGTGTGGACTCAAATAACCCAGCTCAAAGCAGATTACTCCGGTGGATAATTCTGCCTTGATATTCTGGGATATAAGGCTGTGTGGAAGGGCCCTGAGTGTGGACACATATAACCCAATTCAAAGTAGATATTGTGGGGTTTTCTGCCTTGATATTCAGGGATATAGGATTGTGTGGAAGGGCCCAGGACCTCTCCTTTGAACTCCTGGAAAAGTGTTTCTGCCCACTCTTTCTCCCCCTAACTACTCCTATGTGAAAGAGGGAGTTAATACACTCCTTAACTTTTGGTAGTGGGGTCCTAACTGTAGATATCCAGGAAGTTTCAACCAGAAGATGTGCTATGTGTTGTCAAAGGCTTTCATGACCAGAATCAATGGGTTGCTGTGAGTTTTCTGGGCTGTGTGCCCATGTTCCAGAAGCATTCTCTCCTGACATTTCACTCACATCTATGGCATGCATCCTCAGAGGATAAGGGCTCAATTTCTGTTGATGCCTGCCATAGATGTGGCTGAAAAGTCAGGAGAGAATGCTTCTGGAACATGGCCATACAGCCCGGAAAACTCACAGCAACCCATTGATTCTGGTCACGAAAGCCTTTGACAACACATAGCACATCTTCTGGTTGAAACTTCATTTCTTGTGTTTAGTTCACAAAGAGAACTGAAACTAAACCAAAAACTAGAAGCTAGAAGTTATTACTTCATTTGATATATTCTAATACTTCTTTCTGATGGTATGATGACATCAATAACATAAACATCCATAACACTGGGCATGTGAATGTTACCCCTTGTGTTTCAGATTGCCTTAATATGAAACAGAGATGATTCCTTTCTTTATATGCTAGTCTTCTGTTATTATTATTTTCTTCCTGTGGGCATTAAGATTTGGCTGACCAGTGCCTATTGTCTTCTGGCTGCAAGTCAGGGAAGAGTTCTGGGAGAGAAGAATTGCTCTTAGAGAGAAGATCCAAATTAAGGAGCGCTCTCTTTCCAATGCAGTGACTTGCCTGAGTAAAACACTTTCCTTTCCTCTTTAAGTAGGCTCTTGTGCTCAAACACAGTTTGGTGAGAGCTTAATACAGTGGTCTCAACCTTCCTAATGCCGCAACCCCCTTAATACAGTTCCTCATGTTGTGGTGACCCCCAACCATAACATCATTTTCATTGCTATTTTGTAACTGTAATTTTGCTATTGTTATGAATCATAATGATATGCAGGATGTATTTTCATTCACTAGACCAAATTTGTCACGAATAACCAATATGCCCAAATTTGAATACTGGTGGAATTGGATTTCATCATTTGGGAGTTGGAGTTGATGGGATTTATAGTTAACCTGCAATCAACAATAATTCTGAACTCCACCAACTATAGAATTGGGCCAAACTTCCCACACAGAACCCTGTGACCAACATAAAATACTATGTTTTCTGATGGTCTTTGGTGACCCCTTTGATGCCCCCTCATGACCCCCCCCCGGGGTCCCGACCCCCAGATTGAGAAACGCTGGTCTAATAAAAGGTATGAATGGCCCCTTCATAGCATCTAAAGGAACACTAGCCAGTTAGATAGCTAAACCATTTATGTAAAGAAGTATTTCAATCATGCATTTGTGCATCACAGTGCAAAACAAAGGACAGAGTGATTTTTGAAGTCAAGTGGACCATCTTGGAGGCAAACATGGTGTCAGATGCACTGTTTTGTCTAACTTAGCATTCAAAATTATGTATCATATAAGCCATTCTTTCTCAAACAACGGAGACTTTTTCCCAGTTGTTTGAAAATACTTTTGATGATATTTCAATGTTCTCTCCTTATTATGAGTGTGTTTTTTTAAAAATGATTATGTATCCAAAGAACGCATTAATATACACAATTCCTGAGTGCGTCGTAGTTGCAGAGCTACAGCAATTTCAAATTGGGTCCACCTTTTTAAAACAGCCTGTTTGTGTTTTCAAATTGTTCCACAAACTCAGTGCAACTTTCCTTCTCCCTCTCCCCATCATATTTTTACCATGTGCTGCTCAGCATCATTTTTTCGACTCTTCCAGAAGTAAATGCTGGTATTTGGTGTGCAGTTACTTGTTGCAAATGCTTATTACATTTCACTCACAGAGGAAACTGTTCTTGTTGATTAACTTAAAGAAGCATTTAAACCTTCACAGTTCCAACCTTTGGCTTCAGGCAGACGTGTAATGAGTTCAGTCACGGTTGTTTACAAAAGGAACACTGGAATAGATTTCTTGGGATTCTTGCTGTTTTCAGAATGATTTCTCCACTTCTTTACCCTAGAAATGCTTCTTGGCAAAAGCTGGACTGTCCTTCTGTCTCATTCACAGACATGTCCAAATGATGTCTTTATAAGCCTTCCGTGTTCTTTGCTCAGTTTAATCCATCTCTTTTCTTGCTGGAGAAAATATTTGAGGGAAGTATGGAATAGCTATAGAATGTCTTTGACCTAATCTATTGTCGAAGTCTTTCATGGCTGGAATCACTGGGTTGTTGTGAGTTTTCCAGGCTGTATGGCCATGTTTGAGAAGCACTCTCTTCTGATGTTTTGCCTGCATCTATGGCAAACATCCTTGGAGGTTGTGAGGTCTGTTGGAAACTAGGAAAATGGGGTTTATATATCTGTGGAATGCCCAGGATGGGAGAAAGAACTCTTGTCTGTTTGAGGTAGCTGTGAATGTTTCAATTGGCCACCTTCATTAGCATTTAATTACCTTGCAGTTTCAAGGTCTAGCTTCTTAGTGCCTAGGGGAATCCTTTGCTGGAAGGTGATTAGCTGGCCCTGATTGTTTCTTGTCTGGAAATCTCCCGTTTTTGAGTGATGTTCTTTATTTACTGTTATGATTTTAGTGTTTTTTAATACTGGTAACCAGATTTTGTCCATTTCATAGTTTTCTCCTTTTTGTTGAAATTGTCCACATGCTTGTGGATTTCAATGGCTTCACTGTGTAGCCTGACATGGTAGTTGCTAGAGAGGTCCAGCATTTCTGTGTTCTCAAATAATATGCTGTGTCCAGGTTGGTTTATCAGGTGCTCTGCTATGGCTGACTTCTCTGGTATTGTGTTAGTCTGCAATGCTTTTAATGTTCTTTGATTCATGTTTATTTGAGAACTCAGAAATGCTGGACCACTCTAACAACTACCATGTCAGACTACACAGACATGCAATTGAAATCCTAGTTTCCAAAAGACCTCACATCATATTGTCGAACACTTTCATGACTGGACTCACTGGATTGTTTTAAGGTTTTTTGGGCTGTATGTCCATGTTTCACCTGCATCTATGGCAGGCATCCTCAGAGGTTGTCAGGTCTGGTACTTAGTTTTTTTCCAATTTTCATGTGTCTTGGAACAGTTTCAATGTATTGTTAAAGGCTTTCATGGCCTGAATCACTGGGTTGTTGTAAGTTTTTCAGGTTGTATGGCCATGTTCCAGAAGCATTCTCTCCTGATGTTTTGCCTGTCTCTATAGCAGGCATCCTTAGAGATTGTGAGACCTCACAACCTCTGAGAATGCCTGCCATAGATGCAGGCAAAACGTCAGGAGAGAATGCTTCTGGAACATGGCCATACACCCTGGAAAACTCACAACAATTAAGTGATATCTGTTTGAAAATACTTCTTTCTAGTTGTCAAGTACCTTCAAGTTGATTTCAACTTACTTAGGCAACCATCTCATAGCATTCTCTTGCCAAGATTTATTTAGGGGAAGTTTCATATTGCCTTTCTGTAAGAATGCGAATGTGTGGCTTGTCCAGGATCACCCACTGGGTTTCCATGGCTGAGTAGAATATCATCCCTGGTTCCCAGAGTCGTAATCCAACATTCAAACTGCAACATTACACTGGATCAATTCTTTCTAGTTGTTTAAATCTGTCAAGCGTGGCACAACTCTGTGTTCAAAATACCAAATGCCTTCAGAAATCATGAAGATGTATGTTAGACAGGATATCTCCATACAATCACCACTTTTCTCTAATTGGCACACAATATTGATAATTTCCTCATTAGAAGACATATATGCATTTATGCAGAAGTGCATGAATCTGTGTGTGCATGTAAGAATTCTGCTTCCTGTCAAAGCAGTAAGGATAACCAGCCCCTAGTAACCCAACATCTTTGGACCTGGTCTAGGCAGTTAGGAAACAAGATCTGAAATTCAACTTCAGTGAGCACATTATCTGTATTCATCAGTCACACATTCAAACCTGTTCTTCTAGTGGGCTCCATGGAACAGGAGGTATGTTCTGTGATTTTTGCTGCTTTCAAAGATTTTACTATCGAAAAAGAGTCACTTTGTATTCCAGAAGATTTCTGATCTGTTTGAATACAACAAAATTTTCTTATTAATGAATAACACAGGCCAAGAGGCCAAACAAAAATAGCCATTGCTGTGTTAAAAGGGAAAGCAATCTATTTACGGAACGAATCTAGTAGTTGCCTTTGCAGAGGTGTCACACTTCGCAGGTCTCATCTCAGAGCTTGTTACTTTCAGTCAGCGTT